GCGAGGGGCGGGGCCGGGCCGGGGGCGGGGCCGGAGGCGGTGCGGTCCGCAGGCTCCGCCCATCCTCTCCCGGGCCGCAGCGGGGCTGCGACCTTCCCTTCCTAAGCGGCCGGGAGTGCGGGAGAAAGCGAGCGCGCTTCCCCGCGGGAGGCTTTCTCCTGCCTCTAACGACACCTTGGAGGAAGAATTGGCTGGCCGTCAGGCCTGGGGACCCAGCCGCTAATACGCCTTTCCCGTAAAGAAGACAGGATTCCTTTTGACGTGGCGCCAGGTTTCCGGTGTCTGGTGCTCTACACACACACACACACACCCCTGTGTTGGTCCATCCGGTGTCTGGTGCTCTATACACACACACACACACCCCTGTGTTGGTCCATCCGGTGTCTGGTGCTCTATACACACACACACACACACACACACACACACACACAGACACACACACCTGTGTCTGGTGCTCTACACAGTGCTCTACACACACACACACACCTGTGTCTGGTGCTCTACACAGTGCTCTACACACACACACACACACACACACACACACACACACCTGTGTTGGTCCATTTCAAACTGGAAATCAACCATCCACGGGGTCATAGAGCCTTAGGATCTTTTGGTTGATGTCGAATAGGAGGCTTGTGCGAGTTTGTCAGCCAGTCTTTGAGGTCTCAAAATTTAATCCCGACAGCTTTCCACATTTTGAAACCATGGCGATAGTGCACTGAAATGTGTTTGGTTTGGTTTTGATGAGAGAGATTATCTGCTATGCACCGAGTTGACAATCGAACCTGGACATTTAAGGTAGGATATTGTCGAGATACTGTTAAGGTATTGTCAGAATAGCCATGATCATTCGGAGTTTTGTTTATGTGTCTTAGGATAAATTCTAAAAATCCAAGAAACAACAGTTGATTTATATTGTTTTTACACATAGCTCTTTATTTCTTTGGCTCTGTCCATGTGGGCCATGGACACTACACCAGCTCCAGGGACTGAATGCCCAGAGTACTTTATTTTTCATTCACCTCCCAGTTTCCCATCCCCAGACTCATGGACCATTACAGGTAAATCACTTTTCAGTGCTCAAATCAAACCTAGTTGAATATGGATTTAAGGCTTTCTACCTGCCAGTCTCAGATGTAATTTATTTTTATTTTTATTTTATTTTTGAGCCAGTGTCTCACTCTGTTATCCAGATTGGAGTGCAGTGGCATGTTCACAGCTACCACATCCTTGACCTGCTGGGCTCAGGCAATCCTTCCGCCTCAGCCTTCCATGTAGCTGGAACCACAAGCTCAGGCCACCACACCTGGCTAATTTTTTGATTTATTGTAGAGATGAGGTCCTGGAAGTTGCCCAGGCTGGTCTCGAACTCCTGGGCTCAAGCAGTCCTCTCTCCTCTGCCTCCCAAAGTGCTGGGATTATAGGCATGAGCCACTGCTCCTGGCACCGGATGTAATTTAAATGAAAGTACAGACCTCACTTATCTCTGCAAAAGCAGCAACAAACACTGATCAACTGTAGAGTATGCTTGGGTCATTGCTCTTGACCTTCCAGGATCTTATACCCACAGGATTTAATCATTTTATCTTCAGTGCTCTCATCTCTGTGGGAACCAACTCTATGCCTTGCACAGAGTAAAGAATCCATAAATATTTATTAAACAAACATGTTAATGAAAATGGCAGACACTTATTGAGCGCTTACTGTTCTATACACATTAGCTTATTGAATGCTAACATCAACCCTCTAAGGTAGTTGCCGCTATTTTACAGATGAGGAAACAGAGGCATAGAAGATTAAATAATTTGCCCAACGTCACAGTAAGTGGCAGAGATGGGTTTCAATTTCAGGCATTCTATCATTCAAGCCATTAAAGCAATCTTAAGAACCACTGTACGTGGAACAATAAGTACATTAAATATTTTCCATTTATTACTCATGGTTTCAACTCATGAGAGACCTGTATTTTAAGCACAGGCAGTACAATGAATTATTTACAATTTTGCTGAACAACAAATATATATCCTTATGTCCTGTGAAGCTGTTCCTTTAAAAAAAAATTGAACCATAAATAGAAAAAACTACCCAAACTCCAAGGATACAACCCAATGACTTCTTCGCAAAATACAAGGTATGACAATACAGGGTATGACAATTAAGTTCATGAACTCACCCTAGAAGAAGTGCTACATACCTCGTTGCAGAATATCACTATGGTCACCTTTGAGGTACTCCCCTCGAGATACTATTTCACCTGTCAAAGCAGTTTTGGAACTCTTTTTCTGGAATGGTTATCAGAGCTGTCATATTACCCTTGATGTCAACAAAATGCCTTCCTTTCAACATTACCTTCTTCTTCATGTAAAGAAAAAAACATTGGAGGCCAGATCAGGTGAGTAGGGAGGGTGTTGCAATACAGTTATTTGTTTAAAAACTCCTTCACAGACAGTGCAGTGTGAGCTGATGCATTGTTGTGACACCAGAGCTTCTCTGGGACCATTTTTGCACACATCTTTCTCATGCCAAGATTTTCAGTTAAGATTTTCCTGTTTCTCTATCAATGTTTACTTGGTCTGCTATGGTTTTCACAGTCAACCAACAATTTTGATGGTCAATTTGATGAGTTTTTGCAATGCTTGTGTCAGTTTGCACTTCACTGGCCGTCCTGACCTCTCTTCATCAGTGATGCTTTCTCTCCACTCAGGAAAACATTTAATCCATTTGCACACTGCTGTTTTCACCCTGGCATTATCCCCACAAACTTGAAGTCATATGTCCCTGATTTCACTTCCACTCTTGCCAAATTTAACAAGAAATTTAATGTTCGTTTGTTGCTCTAATGCGAACTCCAACGTTCTCACAATGACAGCTCTGATGGCCATTTCAGAAAAGGGGTTCCAAAATTGTTTTGACAGGTGGACTAGGCACTGATGTCACTGCATAACTTCTCAAGGGAAGTACTTTGAAGGTGGTGACCATTGTGATTGTCAGCAATAAGGTATGCAGCACTTTTTCTAGCCAGTTTTTCAGAGTGGTTGGACTGGTTTACATTTCCACTAGTAATGTATAAGAGCTTCAGTTATCAGACTTTTTCTTATTGATTTGTAGTTCTTTATTCTGTATCCCAGTCCCTGGCTGGAGATATATATATGGAATATGTCTTCTCATTTTGTGGGATGACTTTCACTCTCTTAATGTTGTCTTTTAATGAACAGATATTTGTAGTTTTAATATAATCCAATTTATTATTTCCCCCTTTTTATAGTTAGGGCTTTTTGTGTCCTGTTTGGGAATCTTGCTTGTTGTTTTGTCTAAGTTGTTACATTTTAAGTTTTCACTGCATTTTTCTTTCAGGATTGAGAGCTTTTTAGTTTAGTTAGATATGATCAAACTGATATGGCAAAATAAAGTCCTATACCCTTATCAAGGATCATTATGGTTTTACTCCAGGTTCCAGGATCCTTTGGTCTGTGAATGTGAAAATCTGTATTTTAAAAATAATCCATAGAGGGACACTTTTTTTTTTTTGAGCTGGAGTATCACTCTGTCGCCCAGACTGGAGTGCAGTGGCACACTCCCGGCCACCGCAGCCTTGACCTGCTGGACTCAGGCAATCCTCCCACCTCAGCCTTCCAAGTAACCAGAACTACCGGCATGAGCTACTGTGCCCAGTTAATTTTTTATCTATTGTAGAGATGAGGGTCTTGCCAAGTTGCCTGGGTAGGTCTCGAACTCACGGGCTCAGGCATTCCACTCGCCTCAGCTTCCTGAAGTGCTGGGATTACTGGCTGAGCCACCAACCCTGGCCAGAGGGCTACTTCTTTACAATGAAATAATGTTTTACTTTTAGGCCAATATCATATTGTAGGTTTTGTATAACACAGTGAGGTGGGATTTCCTACTACCCTCCATTGCCTGTGGCAATTTCCAAAAATTAAACTCAGATTTTGAGTTGGGAGGGGAATGCAAATTATGAAGGTCCCTCAACAAACCACTGAGCCCAGCACAAAGCTGGAGAAATGGAATGTATTACCAGGGCTCAGTTTGGTACCTGTTTCCTTGTAACTGTTCTGACAATATCCAAGACTCAGTGCTTGCCCCTTCTGTGCTAGCAAAAGTGTTTCAAACACCAGAAAGTTGACAGGACTGTCTCATCTATAAAACCCACAGGTGTCTCATAGCACATGGCACGTGATGGTGCTTTGCTCTGGAATGAGTAAAAAACCCAGGAGCAGATTGGGAGACACCTTTATTTCTAATCTTCAGATTCACAGAGTGCCTTGTGGATGAATGGGTTGCTTTTTCTTTCTTTCTTTCTTTCTTTTTTTTTTGGCGTTGGAGTGTCACTCTGTTACCCATACTGAAGTGCAGTGGCATGCTCCCAGCCACCGCAGCCTCGACCTGCTGGGCTCTAGAGATCCTTCCATCTCAACCTTCCAAGTAGCCAGAACTACAGGTGTGCACTACCACATCTGGCTAATTTTTTATTTATTGTGGAGACAAGGTCTCGCCAAGTTACCCGGGCGGGTCTCAAACCCACAGGCTCAGGCCAATCCACTCGCCTCGGCCTTCCAAAGCTCTTGGATACAGGCTGAGTCACTGAGCCCAGCCCCTGCTTTATCATAATTGCTGATCAATTTTAATTTTCTTGGACCCATATACATTCCCCTGATCAGTGGCATATATTATTGTTGGCCAAAGTCAGGGGTAAAATCTGTGGTCCACGAGACACTCCAGCAGTCTTATAATAGACCCTCACTTTTATCAGCTGGAAAGAATTTAATTTAGCTGCAGCAAAAATAGTATTAAAAGTAAGCTTACCATGCCATTTCATTATTTGCATTTGGAGTCTCGCAATGACTTTGAATCAATTGTAGTTTATAAGAGTAATGAAAATGATATTGTCTGCTTGCACCTTCTGTCCTCTACCTGTGTTTGTTTTTAATCACACATCAAACAATTG